ATAAATTCAAATTTATTTCTTATTTATAAAGAGTATTTAGGTTCTTAATAAGTTTTTTGATGTCACGGGTTGTTGTGCACGTCTTATTTAACGGTCAAACCTGAAAATCGCTAGCCTCGGGGATGCAATGTGAGCAATTTTGGAAGTTAGAGGGGTTTAATTGCAACAATTGATAAGATGCATTTTGCAACAATTTAATGGTTGAGAGCTGTTTAGTGCACTTTTGCCTAATTTTAATGACAAAATAGTGGGAAGTAGCATATATGATAGAACAATCAATCTAAGGAAGGAAAATGCTATACTTCACGAATTTTTTATTTTTGATTTTATCTTGAATTAAGTGATTGCTTATTTGTCAATTTATTTGGATGTTTTTGTGTGTTTTAAAAGTAAATTTTTTAATACAGAAAAAGACTTTAATATAGAAAATAAAGTAAAATAACAAAACTTATGATTATGGAATTCAAACTTTTGTGTAACTTAATAACTTCAATTCGTTTGGGAGGCTCTTTCAATTAAATATTCAAATAATTGAAGAAAAATGATAGGTCTTTCGACCTCAATTGTCGATTCTTCTTCGGAATACAACGTGGTTGGGAATGAGTCGAACAGAAAAAGATGTTTGTGGAATTTTTTATTTTTATTTTTATTTTTTTAAAGTTTCAACGTAATCCAACCACATTGTATTTAGAGGAAGAGTCGACAATTGAGGTCAAAAAACCTATCATTTCTCATAATTAAAAGTTACAATTTTTTACCATGGATGAGTAACCTCCTTCTTGTGAATAAAAACTTCCTTCTATTAAATCGTTAAATAATTAAAACTAGAAATTATAATTTTTTACCATGAATGAATTACCTATTTCTGTTGAATAATAATCCTAATTTATATAATTCAATTGAAGTTTTTTATAATTGTATTTTGATTTGGTATTTTTTCTGGTTAAGGTTAAATTTGAAAGAGATAACCAGTACTAATTGAAATATATAGAGAGTACAAAAGAGGATATATATATATACACATAGTAGTATTCAATTACTCCCTAGTGAACAGGGAGTAGTATGCTCACTTTTAATTGTAATTGTTGGATTTAAATCCAACCGCTATAATTAAAAGTGAGCATACTACTCCATGCTCACCAGGGAGAAATTAAACACTACTGTATATATATATATACTTATATATAAAATAAAAAATATTAGTAGAAAAAAGCAAATTAGAAATAGAGAGAGAAACCTAGTGCAATTGTTTATTCTTTCCTTTTTCTTCAATTGACAATTTGTTTAGTTTGATAAAATTAGAAACTCAAATGCATAAAAGAATAAAGTGTAATATGTATTGAAATAGAGGATATTAATGTCTTTTTAATTATCGCCACATCAAATTTAAGATTAAATCTCGAATTTTAATTCGAGATGTGTAACACTACTCTATATTTATATATAATCATGTCTGCTCATGATGAAGAATTAAGTTGCATGGGTTCAAGAATAAGATTAAAAAAAAAAAGTAAAGATAATTTTTTATAACAAAAACGGTAAATATAAGAACTTAATTTAATTATCTTCAAGTTATATTTGAGAGTACCAAATCGTTTCTTAGAATTAGAATTAGGTAACATCAATAAATATTTATATTAAGCAAGATTTCAAACAAATTGAAGTGAAAAACTATTGAAATTTAGGTACTACAATTATACAAAATAAAACAAATTCAAATGTACGTTTGTATTTTAATGTATCTTTCATTCCATATGACAGTGATACAGTGAAAACTCTATTGAATTTTTCAATAAGTCAAATTGGTTTGAAATAAATAGAATTAATTAATGAAACTTATTTTTGTATTAACTATTTTCAGTTAAGATCTCTAAATAGAAAATAATCTAATCATGTATCTATACATTCTATACTGCTTAAAACTACACATATTCGGGAAAATGAATTCTCCCCCCTCCTTCCCCTCTCCTTCTTTCCCTCTGAAAAGTTTCCTCCCTCCACTATCTCACTCTTGTTTCCCCTGAGAGATGGCGGCCCGTGAAAACATGATCCCTTTTCTCTTCTTTCTTTTTATTTTCCACGGCCATTATATCCAAACCAAACACACTATAAATGAATCTGGACATAAACACATCTAGATTCAATTTCTCACAGACTACCCGAGCTGACCGACCTAGTTTGAGGCCACGAGCGAAGTTCTTTGTCCCCCCATGATCTTCCAACCCAACACGTAGAGGATAATTTTTGTAGTGCCGAAAGATGGACCCGTAGTTTTAGTTTGCTTGGGGCCCACCAGAATAAAAAGTCTTAATGGACCCATTCTGCCATTCACGGTTAGGAGTTGTGGAGTTGGAGTTGGGACACGAAAACATAAATTCCTTGGATTTTCTAAAATTTGATTTTCCTTGTGTTTTGCAGATTGTGACAAAAGTAAAAGCCATCACAGTCCACGTGCTTTTCTCTCTTTATGGAAAAGGTTTCATAAATTTTATGGTTCCAAGCATAGCATTGTACGGAGTAGTAAATTTTATGATAAATTTTTTTTTTTTATAAATAGATGTGTTAGCGTTTTTTATATTATTTATTTTGCTAATTGTGATTGTTTGAAATTATGTAATTTTGAATTATATAATTATTTTTTAAAATTTTATAATTATAATAAAGTCTTTAGAGTTTGAAAAACAAAGGGGTGTTTTTCCGTTTGAAAATGTTTTGCAGGTGTTCGTACTCCCTCCAATATAGTTTTTGACCCAATATAAAAAGAGAGTCGATGGGTCAAATTTAGTTAACCTGATCTTAAATTGAAAATAATTCAGCTAAATAAGTTTTTCAAATTGATAAGCATCACAAGTGATATAAAATTAAATAGATAAATATCACAAGTAAAATAGATAGTCACATCATTCAACAAATTACCACCCGCTTGAAAATGAGTAAGCTAAGTTTATAACTTAGTACTTTAGTAATACTTCTTCCCTTTTTGTTAAAAAAAAAAATTTGAATGAATTTAAATTTTCAATGAGTGTGTGGGAATGTAAATGTGTGTGTGTATATATATATATATATATATATGGTTAAAATTAAAAAATTCTAACTTGGTTATTATATCGACAATTGTCATGAGTAAATAAATAAATAAAAAAATTCTAACTTGGTAATTATATCAACAATTGTTACAAGTAAATAATCACAAGCAGCATGTGAGTTTTCATGCAGTTTGTGACCTAAGTTACAAACAACAAGAACAAGAGTAGGAGTGAGAACGAATATCGAAAGCATTGGCGCAAAAGCGACAAATTAAAAAAATTGTAACTTGGTAATTATATATCGACAATTGTTACAAGTAAATAATCACAGGTGGCATATGAACGGGAGTGAGAGTAGGAGGGGAACGAATTCGAAAACACTAGTGCAAAAACGACAAATTTAAGTTACATAGACTTAGAACTGAAGTGAGAGTGTTCGGAACGTGATAACAGAAGTATGCTCGGAATATAAAAGCGGTACATGTTGAGAATGATTGTGTGACTTAGTCTGACACGTTAAAATTACCTCTCTAATTTTGAGTCAATAAATGAAAAGTAGAAAAGTGAAACAAAAGGCTTTACTAAATATTGCCCATTTATGCATTTTCTGTAAAGATTATTAATAGAAAATTGTACTAATTTATCTTACCTTATCAATAAATTTGATAATTTGTGCACTCATCTGATCTTTATGTTTAGGCTTCAATTTTGTGTGTACATAAAGCACGTAGTATGATGAATCCTACCAACCAACTCATGTGCCAATTTGAACATATTAAACGAACTAGCATAAGTTAACCAAGAACAGAGCATAATATTTCCTGTAATCAATTTGGGCCTACTCGATTTACAAAACAATGTGTCTTTTTCTTTCTTTGGCCACCTAATTAATTTGTTTTATGTAATGTGAAATTTACTTCATGATAATTGATGGAGTAATAGTTTAATGAGCTGTGATTCTCAAATTAATTATGCAAGTATGACTAATTTGTGTAATTTATTGTAAATAAATTTTAATACGAAATTTTCTTATTATTATTGTAATTATTTATCAAACATCACCAAAAAAAAAAAAAAAAAAAAAAAAAAATGCCACGACAATTATCATAAGTTGACTTTCATTTTATCATTACCATGCGTATTAGTTAGATATCACAACATAAGATTTACATTTGTGAGAAGAACACCATAAAAGGGCCAAAAGGGCCTAAAATATTTCTGATACATTGAATCTGGACAGGTTTCTTCCATGGAAGTATATAACACAGATTGTTTGCGTGTGCGTGTGTGTATATATATATCATTATTTTATATTCGAAAAAGAAGAGGACCATCCAACGAAAAGGAAAGGTGTTGACAATCAGACCTTTTTCCTCTTCTAGTTTATGATTGAACTTTTTTTAAAAAATTCTCACACAACTCATTGCTTTTGTTTATTCTTTTTTGTTTCATTTTCCACAGTGTGTATGGCCTAAAGTTTGGATCGTGAAAAGAGGGACTTTTTCCTCGTAGTTACCTTCCACTATCAATGGCATTCATGCATTGCGTATGAAGGAGGTGAGATTTGGATTCTGCTTTTTGTTTTTTGTTTTTTTCTTTATTCTATGAAAAAGTTGTTCAAATTGTGAGACACCCACTTATGGAAAAGTTGAATAAATTTCTTGGTGTGGATTTTTCTTGTGAATTCTCAATGTCATGGTACCCTGTCAGTGGTGATTAGATGGAGCAACTGTTTGAATTTTTTTTTTTTTTGGGTACATTTTGATTATTTTACTTCTTTTAGAGTTTAGTTTTTTGGGACTATGTATGTATGTGAAGACAAATACTATACATTATCATAGCGTATACTGATTATGTATTAGTGTTTTTTTTATTGATGAAGTCAACTTGGCTTTTAGGGTTTCTGAAAAACTCACACAGCCCTTGTATATATATATATATATATATATATCGGACTCCAACTCTCGATTTTCTACTTGCAGAGAAAATATTGTCATTTTTGTGTGAAGTTTTTTAGATGCAAATTTATCGACCTCGTGTGCACACTAAATCGTGCATGGGATTTAGAATCGGAAGAAATTTAGTTTGAAGTTTAAATTGAATTTCATCGATGCCAAATCTAGGGCTTCCATTTTATGCTTTCAAACATAACATTAAAACATTTTCTTGTTTTGTGGTCTCTGTAGAATTCAGGTAAAATCGAACCATTACCAATAGTAGAGGTCATTAACAAGACACTAAACATGATTTGGAGTTTCATACACAATCTCCCCGGAAAAACGTGTGTTATGTGGACTCTCCTCTTTCTCCCAATGCATAATGACATGTTAAAGATATTTGAATGGGATATGTGTGACATACACCTGCACCAATGTATGTTCATGAGTCCATAACTCCATATAATATAGCTCAAAACTGAAAATGCTCTTTCTGATGGCCACTTTTGATGGACAAAGTTTCTTTCCACTATTACTTTGTCGATTCAGAACACTTGATCGATAGCACCATTACTAGTTCTAGATTCTCAATCTTGAACATTTTATAATTAGTTATAATAAGGAACACACAACAAAAGAAGTTGAATAGGAAATAGGTTGTTTGGCGGCTTATTTTATAACTCATGCACATACATGTCACCTGTCCTATGAAGTCAACACCGCCTCAAACTCTGTTTTGGTCTTGTGCACAACAATGTTGAAAAGGTAGCTTACACCAATGAATGGTTATTGAATAATCCATGTTTCATTTAGTCATAATTTTTAATCTATGCAATTGTTTGTCAACCGTGTATATGACATCAAAGATATCCAGGTTCATTAGTGAGTGCTGTTGTTAATCATCTCTTCCTGCTTGGACAGTTTGACCTGTAACTTGTCTGGGAATGTATAAAAGCAAGAGCTTCCCAATCTCCTTCAATGTTCAAGACGCCTTTGCGCACTTGAAGCATTAGTCAATTAACCCTCCTTTCACTTCATTCCCTTCACGTTGTAGAGGTTAGATTGTTTTTCATTGACTATGGTTTTCATTATAGTATATTGTTACTTTTGAATTCCAATTATAATCAGCTTTTCGTGATGAATATGATTTTCCTCGGCCACAAGGGCAAAAAAGAAAAAAGAAAAAGAAAAAAAAGAACTACAATCCTTCAAGGATTATGGAGCATTAATGCTTCAAATTTAGGGGGTTTGATTTTTTTTTTTTTTTTTTAAAAGAAACTAACAATGTTTGTATTAATTTCTTAATGTAGGATTATAATCTTTTGCTCTATTACAAAATTACACTTGAAATGAGCATTGTGTTCTTTTCTGATCACAACAATTTCCATTTTTCACATTACAGGTGAATTACTAGTCCTTTTTACAATGGGTGATCCCACTGATAAGGGCCTGCAAATGAAAGAGATGGACATTAGAAGCTTGTCATCCTCTCAACATCGAACACAAAGTTTTCCTGGAATTCACAAGGTGGGAGTCCCCCCTAAGCAAAGCCTCTTGAAGGAGTTCACGGCCACTGTGAAGGAAACATTCTTCGCTGATGATCCTCTACGTGCCTTCAAGGATCAATCACGGTCTCGAAAATTCACCCTAGGCATGCAGACCATTTTCCCCATTCTTGAATGGGGGCGAGGTTATAATTTAACAAAATTTAGAGGGGATCTCATTGCAGGACTCACCATTGCAAGTCTCTGCATTCCTCAGGTAGGTTTCTCTAAGAAATACTTGAATATGTACAAGAAAACACATTAACTTTTCAGTTTTCACATTTAAACATTTCTAACAATTCATTAACTTGTAAAACAGGATATCGGGTATGCAAAGCTTGCGAATTTGGCTCCCCAGTATGGGTTGTGTAAGTTCTCATACTAATCAACAAGTACCGGATTGCCTTATAACACCTCTTTTAGATTTATTAATTACTTTTTTTTTTTTTTTTTTTTTTTTGGCTGAGAATTTTTCTTTTTTTTTCTACAGACTCCAGCTTTGTTCCACCATTGATTTATGCCTTCATGGGTAGTTCACGCGATATAGCCATAGGGCCGGTGGCTGTGGTGTCTCTCTTGTTGGGGACTTTGCTTGAGAATGAGATTGATCCCACTACAAATGCAGCTGAATATCGGCGACTTGCATTTACAGCTACTTTCTTTGCCGGGATCACCCAGGCCACCCTTGGGTTTTTTAGGTAATAAAGGACATGCCTCTACTTTGATCCTCAAAATGTCAGACAGAAGTTATATCATCAACTATTGTTCCTCTTATGTTTTACATTTTTCACCTATCATATTCTGATGGTGGTTTGGGTTTTTGATACCAGATTGGGTTTCTTAATTGACTTCCTATCCCATGCTGCCATTGTTGGATTCATGGGTGGAGCTGCCATTACAATCGCTCTCCAACAGCTCAAAGGTTTTCTTGGAATCACGAATTTCACAAAGAAAACTGATATTGTTTCTGTAATGAAATCAGTGTGGGGTTCTGTGCATCATGGAGTAAGCTCTCTCTCTCTCTCTCACACACGATTAGGGCTACAATATCTTGGTAGACACGTCTACATGCCCATGCCCTTTTCTACCAATGTGTTCAGTTATGTGTTACTAAAGTCAAATATATGTACAATATTTTGCAGTGGAACTGGCAGACTATAGTAATTGGAGTGGTCTTTTTGGCATTTCTTCTATTTGCGAAATTCATTGTAAGACCCTATTTATATTAAATTTCTGTAGAATTGCAAAACATATCTGGATTCCAACTCTCACATGATTTAATAATAAACAGGGAAAGAAGAACAAGAAATTTTTTTGGGTACCTGCAATTGCTCCATTGATCTCTGTTATACTGTCCACCTTTTTTGTATATATCACTCGTGCAGACAAGCAAGGTGTTCAAATTGTAAGTACTAAAATCTTATGACTTACCTTTTCCTATATTCTGAACTCCTGAACTAATATTTTTACTGATGATCACAGGTGAAGCATATAGAGAAAGGAATTAATCCTTCATCAGTGAATGAAATATATTTCTCTGGAAAATATGTTATAAAAGGTTTTAAGATTGGTGTCGTGGCTGGTATGATAGCATTAACGGTGAGTCGGATTTGCACTCCATCTGATGTTATGAAGAGATTTTTGTTTGTTATCTCCTGTATTTAAATCACTTTTTCTTTTCTTTTTTCCCCCTCCTTTTTTGTGGAATGGTAAAATTTTATCAGGAAGCTGTGGCAATTGGAAGAACATTTGCTTCCATGAAGGATTATCAGCTGGACGGAAACAAAGAAATGGTGGCACTAGGAACAATGAATATTGTTGGCTCGATGACATCTTGCTATGTGGCAACAGGTAGGAAGGAAGCATAGAGATATATCAATGTCTACTTCTATAAATTAATAAATTTGAAATTATAAGAAATAATATTTAATCAAACCAATGGGTATTTATCATTTAAACCTTTTTCTGGTAGTCACAAATGAATGGGAGCATGCGTAAGAAATTTCAAACAAAAATTATAATATGTCCTTACGATTATTGATAATATCTGCTCATCACTTGCAGGTTCCTTCTCTCGCTCGGCAGTTAATTACATGGCTGGCTGCCAAACTGCAGTTTCTAACATTGTGATGTCCTTTATTGTATTCCTAACCTTATTATTCATCACACCCCTATTTAAGTATACCCCAAATGCCATTCTTGCTGCCATCATTATATCTGCAGTCCTTGGCCTAATCGACTACGAGGCAACAATTTTGATATGGAAGATAGATAAATTTGATTTTGTTGCCTGCATGGGAGCCTTTCTTGGTGTGATTTTTGTCTCTGTTGAGATAGGTCTCTTGATTGCGGTAAGAATTGGTGTATTTACTGATCTTCATAAATTACTTTTGTCGACTGAAAGCGATTAGCCTAATTGAATTGGATGTGCTTCCCCTGTTTGTTATGATAGGTTGCAATATCCTTTGCTAAAATCCTCCTACAAGTTACAAGGCCAAGGACAGCTCTTCTTGGGAGGATTCCCAGGACAACTGTTTACAGGAACATCCTACAATATCCAGAAGCATCTAAGGTTCCGGGCATTTTGATTGTGAGAGTTGATTCTGCAATCTACTTTTCTAACTCCAACTATATCAAGGAGAGGTAAGGATGTTTTTCTAACTTTTCTTTTTTGCTTTGATTTTCGTACAATTTGTGAAATGATATCTATTGAAAATAGTCTTGCCTCCACCTAGAAAGCTCACTCTTTTGAGAATTGTGGTGGAGATACTAGCTAGGGTCTTTTTGAGTTGGTTAAAGTTCAACTGGCTTTAGTCTAAAAATTAACTATACTGCAGGATATTGAGATGGTTGACTGACGAAGAAGAGCAATTAAAAGCTGCATACAAACCTAATATTCAATTTTTGATTGTTGAGATGTCACGTAAGTACTGTTTACCCAGTTCGCAAACGCCATATTCCTATTTTCAAGCATGCTTTTACTATGCTTGCCTGTACTTAGAAGCATATGCTAATTGCTTTTTGTGTTCCTTCCAGCCGTTACTGATATTGACACCAGTGGCATCCATGCCTTGGAAGAGTTACACAGGAGTCTCCAAAAGAGAGATATTAAGGTTCCTAAATTACTGACCTCTATTTCTTATGTTATCAATTTTTTTATTTTTTATTTAATAAATATGTACATGACAGGACCATATACAGAATTAGAAACGATTTAGAAAAGTTACCTTACAAAAGTCTTTGCGTTGTTGTGCAGCTTGTTCTGGCAAATCCAGGGCCAGTGGTGATTGACAAGCTACACGCATCTGATTTTACCAATGTGATTGGTGAGGACAAGATCTTCCTCACTGTGGCAGACGCCGTGCTAACCTGTTCACCGAAATCGACAGAAGAGGTTTGAGATGCGAAATGGAAAAACAAGTAGCCACTGAGAGAGTGAGGCATATAGTGTTAGTGTGACAGAGAACATATATATAATGTAGGAAAAAAGGAGGGCTTTGGTGTAGTTGAGTAGTAACTGGTGGGATTGTCATAAAGGCTGTCAAGTGGAGTGCGGAGTGCTAATCCACAAGAAAAGGCGCGCACAAGTTCTGATAAGGTTCTTCCTCAAACTAAACTATGGCACTTTTTAGTTTCGATACAACACGAATGTAACCTCACTGTGTAGTCTGTGGTGACTCGGGAAAATTCCTACTCATATGTGTGTATCTTTCAGTAGTCTCATACCCTTGAAGGGGTTTTTGTTTTCCTTGTTCTTGCTTTATACATTTTCCTGTTCACCAGATAAAGGTTTTCCAGAAAGTGTCTGTTCATTAGGTTGAATAGACTGTAATGACTGATAAAACAATATTAATATAAAGCGTTACTGTTTTGTCTCCTTTATTTACTTGTATTTGTTATGTGAATTATTGAAGTTAGTGAAATAAAATGAATTTGGCATCAGAAATCTGTTGTTATCTCTTGTTTAATTTCAGCTTTCCTAGATCAAGACATAATCTCCTCCTACATTATAAACAGCTGAAAACAAAATGGACAAGTCCTGAAAATAATAATAATAATAATCTACTTTAGACTAATTATAAAATTGATCTTGTTAGATAAGATGACTACTCATTTAAAAGATGAAAGTGGCTGAGTCAGCATCAACTTTGCATAGATTGATCAATAAATTAATGATGTGTTTCCCACTATGGGGATGTGTACTGACGGGGTGCAAAATTGTATAATAGAATTGATTGATAGAGAAGGACCAAGGTCTGTATATCGCTCAACCCATCATTGTACTCAAAGCCACTATTACTTGATTTGAAGCTAGCATCAGGTTCTTGACTGTATTGGGATTTGATCAATTTTTCATACATTAGGATGATGAATTTAGAAATATCCATAGAATAAATTACTAATTGCCACAGAGTTCGTGTTGCGTAGTTCAATTGAGAGTGTTGATGGTTAAGGCCAAGAACATGGCAGTAGTATAAAACTGCAATCTTGTTTCATTGCAGCTCTTCTGCTATTGTGGGAGGACATAGGTGTGTATATATATACGTGTATAGAGGGAGAGAGGAGGAGACGAATGACGTTAGATTTGATTCATACTATCGTCAATTTTATGTGTTGGATTGGGTTGGACGATCATTATCAGAGCCGCTTTTTGGATGGATCCATAAGTTGATGATCTGTGGCAAGACATTTCCAAGATTCAAATAACTAATGGGGAGGATAGGGTGAAATGGAAACCTGGCGCTGTGAATTTTTAATCATTCTGGAAGGTTTGCAGAAGGAAAGTCCGGAAATGACTGGTCGGGGCTGGTTTGGATCGAATAGGGGTAGGCCTGCTGCTTGTTTCACTAGTTGCCTTCGGTTGCAGAATAAACTCCCTTTTCTCTGTAATCTTCAAGCTAGGGTTTTTATTTGTGACCCCTGTTTGTCATAACTGTGTGAGAGATTCTAACAAAATGGACCATCTAAAGGGGTTAATCAACAGCAAAGGCCAATCAAAGTGTTGTTCACAGTAGGCGTATGGCGTATTTGGTGGAACTGAATTCAAGTTATGCGTGATGGAACTCCTTGGCCGGCTTCTCAAACTGCTAGATCAGTTTGGTTTTCAGCTTTAGGATATGCCGGTTCACTTCAGGCAAGTCCAATGGAAGATTTGCTTACTCATGTTTTTTTTTTTTTGGGGTGTTCTATTCCTTTCCCTTTAATTTTTCATTTCCTCCTTTTGTTTTCTGGCTTTTGGAAATGGTTGTTTCATGACAATAAATGGTACTGCTCATTGCAACTAAATTATGTGAAGGCAGAACTCAAAAGCAGACTAGGATTACAATATACCTGTAACGCGCCTGTTTGGATCAAAGATGAGCATTTTTTCCAGCAAATCCACCCAGCTTCTCTGCCTTCATGACCTCCATGTCACCATGCTCATCTCCGAGTACTACCACAGTCGCCTCCAACGCCACAGCAAATTCCAATCTCGCTCCCTTCTCCATCCTGCATTTTGCTTCAAGACCATACCGGATGGCCTTCCCGAAGACCATCCGCGTTTTGGTGAACGAGTTGTGGAACTTACGCCTCTGAACATAATAGAACAGAGGGTTGTGGTCTAAACTTCTAACAAGCAAATTGAGACAAAGGGGTGTGGGCTCCATTACTGTTGTCTTGGCTTCTTTGAAGTTGGGACGACAATGTGTTTTTCTTTGCGTTATCACATTAAACATTGTCAAAATTGTGACAAGTAGGTCCATCAATGGAGGAGAATCCCATACCGGAATTAAAAACTAAAACCGGGCTTGTCGACATGGGAAGACAACTGTGAGAGAGGGGGTGTGAGGTTCATGTGTCGCAATGTTGGCAAAAAATATAAATATTCTAAAAACTAAAACTAGTATCAAATGCAAATGCTGCCACTCCATTAGACGGCAAAGGAGTAAGAACAAGAAGCATTGGATTTCAAAGGCGGATTTATCAAACAGAACCAAAAGCTGGACTTTATATTAATAAGCCAAAACAAAGAGAGATGCAGATTTCTGATGCAAAATGTGTTTGAAAATCAAAAGAGAATTGACAAAAGAAGAATTGAAGGAGATAAAGAAGAGGAAGAAAGAGAAGGAAAGGGAGAAGGAGAGGAAGGAAGAAGAGAGGAAGGCGAAAGAGAAAGAGAAAAGGAAAAGAGAAGAAAATGAGAGGAAGGAAAAGGAAGAGAGGATAAGGAAAGAAGAGAAAGAAAAAGAGAAGAAGAAACAAGCACAAGAGAAAGAGAAGAAAAAACAGGAAGAACGGAAACGGAAGGGAAAAGAGAAAGAGAAAGAGAAGATCAAGAAGAAAAACAAATAATCAAGAAATTTGATATTCATATGCTCTTTCCATTTATTTTTCAATTTTTTTCCGGTCCAAATAATGCTATAGCTTATATGTTAAATGTGTTCCTTTTGTAATATCAATAGCATCATGTATGGTACTATTATGCCATCTTCCCTCTATTGTTTTTGGAAAGAAAATTAAGTTTTGTTCTGGAGTTTCGAATGTGACACATTGAATTTAAAATTAAAGAAAATTTGATTCATTATATAAATTTTGAGTTGGATCTTTCATAATCATCTTACTCATTAATTAAAAATTGTATTAATTGAAATCGAGTATGAAATAATTCTCAATCAAACAGCAATACTTAACTAACTGTAGCTAACCAGATGAACATAGTAGGTTTCGTAGATTTTTTTTTTTTAAGTACACAGTGAATAAAAAATGGAATATAAAATGTGAGTAAGAATACTCGATTTAAAATACTTGAGTAATACGAGAGTGGTCGGTTTGGTTTCTAACAAAAACAATCTCTAACGTAACGTAACACAATTATTTAGAAGACCACCAAAATACGGAGTATTAAAATATGTAGCTTGACTATTAGAATGTCGTAGTTATAAGAGTTATGGGCTGACAGAGAATCTCATACTTATATATGTCATAAAATGATATCCATTGGAATTTTTTTGATATACTGTTTCAACTTTGGGCCGTTTTAGAGCTTGAGATAGGTTGTATACCAGCCCACCTAACTCTTGGGCTTGGACTGTCGATTTGGGGTTTTAATGCCCTAAACCTCCAGTTGAAAGGCTGAAGAACTAGGTTTAGGGCACACTGTTTATCATTCAAACACTCTCAGAGAACCAGAGAGAGAGAGAGAGAGTGTGAGACAGAGAGAAAATCGAATCACTGCAAATCTATGAAGCTCCACACTTTACAGGCAAGTACTCATCTCTACACTCTTTGCTTTGATTGATAGCACATTATATGTCTGTGTGTATCTTCAAGAAATGACCATATACATCTGCAGAAGTCTCATCTCACTCTCTCTCAAGAATTTTTCACATCTCAACAAAACCCCAATCTCTCTTTTCTCTCTTCTCTTCTTCTCTTCCTCTCCAAAAAGCCCCAATGCTGTGGCTGATTACTTGATTGAGAGACACAAATTTTCTCCTGAAATTGCTTCGAGAGTCTCTTCCTCTACAAATTTTCCCCTGAAATTGCTTCTGAAAACGCCTGAAAAGACCGATTCGATTCTCTCATTTCTCCAGGAAAGTGGTTTTTCGGATACCCATCTCGAGCTTGTCATCAAACGCATGCCTCAAGTTCTCTCTGCAAATCTTGAGCGCACCATCAAACCCAAATTCAAGTTTTTTCAAGACTTGGGTTTTTCTTCTAGCGACGTTGTGGAAGTTGTTTCGTCTCACCCATGGATTTTAACTACTAGCGTTGATAATCGGCTTCGCCCGTCAGTTTTAGCATTGAAGAATGTTTTGGGTTCGAATATGGACGTGCCTAGGGTTTTAAAGAGATCTGGGTTGTTTTTGAGGTATGATTTGGCGAAAACTATGATACCCAATATTGAATTTTTGAAGAGTTGTGGTATTAGTTCATCGCAAATATCCCAACATGTCTGTTATTACCCAAGATATTTCTTGCATAAACCTACGAGTATTAGAGAATATGTCAAAAGGGTTAATGAGATGGGCATTGACGGGAAGTCTAAGATGTTTCTTCATGCAATTCGGGCTATTAGTTCGATGACTAGAGAGAATTGGGAGTTGAAATTAAAGGTCTTTAAGAGTTTGGGGTTTTCGGAAGATGACATTTTGTCAGTTTTTAGGAGACAACCTCTGGTTTTTGCTAAATCAGAGAGGAAAATTAAGGCGATAACTCAGCTTTTCCTTAGCACGGGCAAATGTGATATCTCATTTGTTGTTAATAACCCAGAATTACTTGGTTGCAGTGTTGAGAATAGGCTTAAGCCACGGTTAAGAGTTCTGGAGGTATTGGAAAGCAGGAATTTACTTCTTAAAAAGCCGAGTTTGGCAAATGTATGCAAGATCACTGATAAGAAGTTCTTTGAGAAATATGTACTACCATATTCAAATGAAGTTGGCCAATTATTTGTGGTTAACAAGCCCTCGATGAAAGCAGAAATATGTGCTTAAGATCATCACATCTTTTGGGACTAAATGATTTAATATTTGGCGGCATAGCATGGCAGGTAAGTAGGTACTATTTTCTACCATCCACTTGGTGTACTACTGAGAAAAAGATAGATTAATTTTCCAGCTGGCTGTATAATTTCAAATGTGTTGAAATATATCCTTAATTTAACTTTCTTCTTTTTTCTTTTTTCAAATTTTCAATTGAGGTATCATGTTGAATAATCCTGATAGGTATTGCAATGATAATGGCCGTGCTATCTTATTCTTCACATATAATTTTGTCATTGTGTAGAATTGTATGCTATTATAAGTTTTGTTTATCATGTACATTGGTACTAACAGTAGTCATGTATGTCTGTAAGGATCTACCATTATAACCATGATTTGGGAAATAAGGTGCTTCTTCTTATTAGTTCAGCAGTAGGATAAATCCGACAAAAGGGAGACTAGAGAACCTCCTCACACAGCAAATGTTACAAAACCCCTTTTTAAGTGAATATTTTGATGTGAAAAATTGGTTGAAATTGAATTTCAAGGTGGTGCCGTGGTGGTGGTAATAAAAAGAATGGGTTAAGTGCAAAAAAAACCTTGTACTATCGATATAGTGCAAAAAAGTCCCTGTGTGGTATAGAACACCCCTCTACTTTTAATTTGGTGCAAATACCCCGTCTACATAAAAGACTATAATACCCTCTTGCCAGTAAAATGAAATAATATTAAAAAAATAAAGTAAGGTAAAATTACCATTTTAGACTAGGACACATGTCTTTTAACCCTGATGGTTAGGTGGCCCAATAGAAAGTAAAAAAAACATGTGTGCAAAAATTTATGTAATATTAAAAAAATAAAAAAAATGGGGAAGACCCATTGTTAAATGAGTGAACCCAATTGATCAAAAAAAAAAAAAAAAAAAAGCATAATTGGAAGAAAAAGGGCAAATTAGGGTTTTTAAATTTCTTTTATGTCAATTTTGATCAAAAATTGGTCAGAGGGGTTTATTTGCATTTTTTTAAAATTTTATGGACCGAAATGCACATTTTCCAAAGGAGGGACTATTTGTGCACAAAACCTAGGGGTTTTTTGCACTTGACCCTAAAAAGAATTGCAAGTTGAACCTAATTTCACAAATAAAGTGTGCAAAATTTTAGCTAATCTTTCATTCAACCAAATATATCAAAACAGAACAAATATAACTTTAAGAAATGAAGCATATGTAATGACACAGCCAAGCATTTAAGTTGCCTAATTTCACGGATTCTAAGTTGTTAATTGGCTTGTCTCGGACCACAAGGGCCTAGTATGCATTTGCAGAACATGAAAGTGACACATGTTTAGAAGAATTATGTGAGTTAGGCAGAACATGAAAGTGACACATCTTTAGAAGAATTTATGTGAGTTAGGGCGTGACCCAAAAGCCTAAACTAGTGAGTAGTGTTGCATACCCATCATTATATATCTCATTCAGTACGAGGCCCTCTTAACACATATCCACAACCATGTTTGTAATTATATATCTATTTACATAACCTTTTCATTATAAATTCCCTTCTATGATACGTGGATTGTCACAGCAAACCTAATCAGAGTATAATAATAAATAAACACAAATAAATTTAGTTGGCATATATTTTTACCGTTCTTGGTAGAAGTAGTGATCTTTTAGTTGGCATAATTGATTCATTTCTATTGCATCCCTTAGCATCAAATGGAGCAAGAACAATCAATGGATGTTATTGGACTAACCCCAGTTATAAGTATTTGGTTTCATAATACTTGCAAGGTTGAGATTTCTTTCTTCTTTCCATTTCGCGTAATACTTGCATTTATTTGCACCATTATAAGTTATTGTAGAACATAGTTTGCATTTATTTGCACCATTGATGCAACCATCTACTCTGAAAGATGTAGTGTGTTTCAATTTTAATTCCTTTAACAATATGTCTACTTGAGCCTACCTTATTTTTTTCAAGAACAATACTTTTATGTAGAAGCAAATTTTCATACTTGTAATGTTGAAAATTGTGTTTCTTTGATCTTTTTCGATGCTTTGTTATGAGTGAAAATTGATGTTAAAATTGCTTAGAACGGAAGGTGTGCCTAATCGAAATGTTGGCAAGGCAATGTACATTGAATGCAACTATGGCATATGCCTGCATTGATCGAGATCTTTGGGAATGATTCTGTACTACAGTTTGGTGGAGGAACTTTACGACGTCCTACAGCACCGAGCTTGCCCTAGTCTTCCCCACCTGAGGTTGTGTCTCGAATTTGGTTTCTTATACGCTGCTTCCTGTCTAAATCTACTATTTTTCTACTACTTTCTTCATTATTAGTAACAGTTAACAGTTCTGCTACTTGATGATCAAGAATTGTATTCTTATTTATTGAGGAGCTCTAGAGAGGGAGGGGCTACCATGAAAAAGAAAACTCTCCCTCCTCCCGTGGATGTAAAAACAAAACCTTAATCAAATTCGACTCATAGCTTATTATATAAAGATACAGAGCAATGAAGCAACCACCGCACTAAAGGAACTAGAAAGGAAATTGATATGGTATATGCTCCAGAGCCAGCAGTAGGGGATTGTGCGGGAACTTGAGACCTGGTGGTGTTGGAGAACTGGCTGTTGGCACCCGTTCTCTTACAATTTTACGATGACAGTTTTTTGTGTTCTGAAATTAATTTACATTAAAATGAGTCGATAAACATGTAAAATATATTAATGTTGGAAAACACACACAAAAAAATTCGGTCTTGGTGCTTTATAAAAAGTACGTTTATATAAAAAAAAAATTAAAAGAAAATATTCAACACAATTTAGTCATAAAAATCAAAATTCATCTTGGCATTTTGAGCTGGAAAATTATCAATTAAAATTTTCCAATCAAGTTTCTCTAACACATCTTTTTTAATAGATGCTATTATAGTCAATTCATTCAGTCTCTTGTCATATCGGAAATATTTGATTAACTTCAACTTTGAAAAGTTTCTCTCAACAGATGCAATTGTAACTGGGATAGTCACCACTGCAATCCAAGCCTTTTGGAAAATAATAACCAAGACTTTTTATAAAATTTAATGTTTCAATTGCCTTTTTTGTTCTTGTAAAATTCTCTTAAAACTTGTAATTCTGAAAATAATTCTATCAAAATCAGAAACCATATCATGTTTTAGGAGATCTTCAAAGTTATTTTGGAGAATGTGACCCTTGATTGCACCCTTGAATTAAAAATTTGGTTGTTTGGACTTAACTTAACAGAGTCTGTCATGCATGCATATGAGCCCAAAAATAATATAATAAACAAATTTGAGTTTAAATATAAAAAATGAAATGGTCATAAATAAATTATTGTTACCATACGAATTATTGTATTATATATTTAAATTGATATTATAAGTATTTATGTTTATTGCCATAATTTTTTTTAAAAAAATATTTATTGCAATAAATTTACATGATATGTAAGCGTGTTATGGAAATTATGACCGGAAATGGACATGTGTTTTTAATTGATGTATGAGTGTACATAACATGTACTTTTCAATGTCATTAAGTTAAGAGGGAGCTTCTTATTGGATTGAATTGAACGACAGCATACCATACAGTTTCGCATCCCTTTATTACTTTTGTGTGGCACCTACTAGGCATAAGCTGTTTGTGCCCAACTCTGGACACAAATATATGTATATTTTTTACAAGTTATTAAAGGTAGAAAATAATTTTAAAAAATTTATAAAATAGAAAACTGGAATATAAAATGTGAGTAAGAATACTCAATTTAAAATACATGAGTAATAGAGAGTGGTTGGTTTGGTTTAGTTTGACAAACAATTTAATTAGATCAAACAATGACCAAGAGCGTATTTAGGGGTAGGCTTTGGTGGGCTTGAGTAACTCACTCCATTGACAATTTTCTGAATCCGCCTTTACAACGGCATTAGTAAATAATAAGCTTTTAATATATCCTAGAGTCCGAGTTTGAACTAAATGTAGCCTATCACAAAACAATTAATATTGCCAAACATGAAAAATGAAAAATCTAACAAAAACAATCTCTAACATAACGTAACACAATTATTTAGAAGAAAAACAAAATATTAAAATATGTAGCTTGACTATTAAAATGTTCATGCAATAAGTTTGTTAGCCATCTCTAATGCAAAATGTCATTTTTGCATGTCAAATTTATATTTTGAGAGGGGTTATAGTGTCAAAATGTTATATTTTAGCAATTCTACTCCAATGATACATTTCATCCAAAATGCTATGTTTTGACACAACAATCATTATTTTTCAATTACCATTTCCAACTACAATTTTCAACAACTATTTTTTTTTTTTTTTTTTTTTGAGTGTTTGTATTTTATTTAGCTTATTTGTCTTATTAAAAATAAATAAATAAAAACACAGACATATATATATACACACAACAGACATATACATATATATATATACATACAACACTGACATATATATACACACAATTACAACACCAAATTGACAGTCCATGCAAGAGAGAAGAGAGAAGGAAAAGAGCAATAGCAGATTTGGCAATAGCTATATGTGTTATATTTGACATAATATTTTGTAAAGTTTTATTTTGACAATTATTTGACATGCTATTGAAGAGTCTATTTTAAACTTACATGTTATATTTTGAAAATAGTTACTCTTAAGCGTAGTTAATAGAGTCATGGGCTGACACAAGATCTCATACTTATATATGCCATAAAAATTAAATGAGATCCATTGGTATTGGAAATTTTTTGCTGTACTGTTCCAGCTTTGTGCCGTTTTAGAGCTTGAGATAGGTTGTGTACCAGCCCACCTAATTCTTGGGCTTGGACCGTCGATTTGGGGTTTTAATGCCCTAAACCTCTAGTTGAAAAGAGGAAGAACTAGGTTTATGGCACACTGTTCATCATTCAAACACTCTCAGAGAACCAGATAAAGAGAGAGCGTGTGTGATAGAGGGAGATAATCGAATCACTGCAAATCTAC